GACTGCTGACATGTAAACAGACTGAAACTGATTAGAGTACCGTTTAGGGAGGGTCCAGATTGCAGAGATGAATAAAAAGCTAAACTTGCTACAATCTTTGCCTCACTTGGCCCAACGCTGGACGGTGAATGTAACATAAGAAGCATGATGTTCCATTTGGATGATAAGTATGGCTTGTGGAATTTGATCATCTTTTAGCATTAAAGCTTGTTTTTATATATAACCAAATCTCATTATTTCTCAAGGTCATTTACGATGAGTGGTTCTGGTCGGGTCCTGAAACTGGTTAACGGACATGGGTGGTGAACAGAGACAGAAATGAATGAACTCCAACAGTGAACAAGATCCTAAGATGCTTAAACTCCTCCACTTGGGTCAGGACAATCTTCCCTGACCCAAATAAGGCGCTCTACCCTTTTCCATGACCATGGCCTTGGATCTGGAGGTACTGATCCTCCTCATCTGCATCCTGCTCCAGTAAAGCTGTAGATCACGACCTGATGAAGCCAGTAGGGCCACATCATCTGCCAAAAGCAGAGGTGTGATCCCAAGGCCACCAAAATGGATCCCTTCAGAACCCCGGTTGTGCAGAACGTGGCCTCGGACAGAAAACACCCAAATCCAAAAATCTAATCAAATTTTATTTATATATCACATTTCAACAACAAGGCATTTCAAAGAACTTAAAAACACCATAAAAACACAAAAATACAAAGTCATAGAAACACAGCCAACAACTGAAACATTACATTTTCTCACTACATATCAGATTGTTTATTAATGTTCCATTAATTAGCGCATGGCTCTCATCTCGGGTCATGCGATGAGATGAGACTATTTCTAGTTAGAACCTCTCAACCTCACACACCAGCTCAGGCTCCCACCAGAGAGGTGATGCCCACTGATAAAAAGTCTACCACCCAGGGTCAGATGGCCAAGGTCCCCTCCCTCGGCCTTCTAACATCCCACATTGCACCCAGCCCTTTTGGCCCACATGTGGTGAGCCCATGGGAAGGTGAACCCACTGTGGGCTGAGCCTGGCCAGACTCCATGTGTTTTGGCACCAGATGCTGCCACAGAGCACCAACTCCAGGCCCGGCTCCAGGGTGGAGCCCTGGTGACCTGCGTCCAGGTGAGGGGACACTGTATCCATTGATTGTGCTCTTCATAAAGGGTCTTTGGGCTGCTCTTTGTCTGGTTCATCACCTCTAGCATTGGGTGACCCTATAAGGGGTATGAAACCCCTGACAGCATAACTCCTAGAGTCACTTCAACACTCAAACCCTTTCATCATGATAAGGTGGCAGCCTATGGAGGTGAAGAGAAAATAGGAAATATATATTTTAAATATAAAATTGACTAAAAAATAATAAAATGGGTCAAAATGAATTAAAAATATGGGTACCTCATCTCTCCAGTCTACTAAAACAATTTTACACTGATTTCGAGTAATTGGGTGAAAGTTTAGTGAGAACTTCTGCTCGGGTTCTCACTAAAACCAGGAAGACAGAGCACATAACACCAGTATTAAAGTCCCTACACTGAATCCCTTGTAGCTCATAGACTAGAATAGAAAAATACTGTTGTTAGTTTATAAATCACTGAACGGTTTAGTACCTCAATACATTACAGATCTGCTGTTGCATCAACCTTCCAGACCCCTCAGGTCTTCTGGTTCTGGTCTGCTCTGCATCCAGAACCAGAACCAAACAAGGAGAAGCAGCATTCAGCTTCCATGCACCACAAATTTGGAACAAATGTACAGAAAACTGTAAAACAGCTGAAACACTGAGTGCCTTTAAATCTCGACTAAAAACCCACCTGTTTAGAGTTGTATTTGAAATGTAATCAATTACAAAGTTAATGACAGCTCTTAACTTAATGTAATGTTTTGATTGTTGATTCTATGTTGCACGACTCTGTGTTTTCATGTTTTTATTATGTAAAGCACTTTGAAATGCCTTTTTGCTGAAATGTGCTGTACAAATAAAATTGGACTGATTGATTGATGACCTACAAGCTAATATAAAAATACCTAGAAATTATAAAAAGGACTCAAATCGAATATAAATGACTGTGCTTCATCTATAGGGACCATGATAATTATTTCAAAGTGATTTTGAGTCAATAGGTCACATGACCTGGAAGCTATTGAATAAAACATTATATTATCCATCCATCCATTTTCTGAACACCCT